TTCACCAGTTAAGAGGGCCTCGATGGTTTAAAGTAAGTATAAGGATGGTTAAAATTAATCAGACGGAAAACTTCCCTGGCGGGGAAGAAGTAGTGTGTGCTGTCAGCATCAAAATATGTTATAAAAGATTGCCCTGAATATTCTGTGATTTTTTAACCTCTTGGAATGGAATGGTAATTGTACCTGGCAATACTTACGGATGGCAGGCTGGTGCAGGATCAGAGATGTGTGACAGTGACAAGATGCTGAAAAAGGAACACAAAGGGAAGAGTGCAGGTGGGTGGGTTTGAGGCAGTGGCAGTAACTATTAGAATGACTGGTGGTGATTTTGAAAGAACACAGCTCTGTGGGTTGGGGTTAAATGCTCCAGCTTTGGATTTGGTTGTGCGGTGATAGAATGGATGAAGCAGCAGCAGGTTTCTTGAGGCCAAGGGAACAAATCTGAGGCTGCAAGAGGGCTTGGATTTTTGATCATGTAATTGTTCTGGAACCACCCATTTCTCCTCACTGCTTTTTATATGGGAATTTTCTGTTTGTTTAGTTGGTCACTATATGTTATTTTTAACCAAAGCATCCTGTTACCAGATAGTTAATATTTTTTTAAAAAATTCAAAAAATACAGTAAAGATTCTTGAGTTTGCATTTTCCCTATGCCTACGTACAAGAGTTTCTCTAGAGGAGATAGACTGAAGTGGGATTTGGGGCTATAGAGTGCATTAATATTCAGCTTCCATAGATGTCAAATTGCTTCCCAGAATGGTTGTACCAATATGTACTCCCACCAGTGGTGTAAGATAGCTTCTATTGCTCTTCATTACATCTTTGCTTAACACCTGGTATTGACAGATACTAATGTTTACCTATTAATCCCTTGGTGCATAATGTAATTATTAGTAATCATGTCGCTTCTCAAACAGCTGTCTTGTTTATTATATCCTTTGTATAGCTGTCTGTGCAATATTGGAGTTCATGTGTGTGTGTGTGTGTGTTCATTCCATATATCCCAGATAATGTTTATGTGCCTATATATACACACATTGCAAATATTTGCTAGGGTAAGGATCATCATATGTTTTGTTTATAGTGTTCTTTATTATAAAGTAATACTTAAAGAATTTAGCATAATTAATCAAACATTTTCTTTAAGTTTGTGCTTTCTGTGTCTTATCTAAAAAATCTCGACCCAAAAATTGTGACATTTTCCTGTATTCCAAAATTTGTTAAGCATCTTGCTTTTCATATTTAGATTTTGAATCTTCTTGGAATTGACTTGTGCATGGTGTTAGGAACAACCATTTTTATATATTCAATATTATTATTTTTTTCTTTCTGAATCATATTCTGTTCCTCTGGTCTGTTTGTCCCTCCCTGTGCCAGTTCCATGTTTGGTTTTTTAAAGATTTTATTTATTTTTAGAGCGAGGGAAGGGAGGGAGAGAGAGAGGGAGAGTAACACTGATGTGTGAGAGAAACATCGACTGGTTGCCTCTTGCACACCCCCAACTGGGGACTTGGTCCACAACCCAGGCATGTGCCCTGACTGGGAATCAAACCAGTGACCCTTCGGTTCACAGGCTGAGGCTTAATCCACTAAGCCACACCAGCGAGGGCCTGTGGTATTTTAATTCATGTAACTCTCTAAAAAAGTCTTTATTACCTTGTTAACCTTCTGAATTATCCTGGTTGTCCTTGGATTTTTGCTCGTCTATGTTAAATTCTGGATAAGCTTGTTCAATTTTCACGGAAAACAAACAAGTACCAGGATTTGAGTGACACTAAATTAAATTTGTGTGCATACTTGGGAAGATTTCATATAGCGTCTACTATTCACCCTATTTATGTAGGTGTTAATTTCAATTTTTGCAGTTCTTTTTTACTGTCCTTCAGTAGTGTCTTTAAAAAAACAAGACATCAATTGGTCATTCCACTTATTTAGGCATTCATTGGTTGATTCTTATAGGTGCCCTGACTAGGGATTGGCATGTTAGGATCATGCTGTAACCAACTGAGCTACCAAGCCAGAGTTTAATAATGCGTTTTAATTTCTCCTTTTAATGGCCTTACTCTTTCTTTGTAGAAGACTTACAATAATTTTGTTTATAATTATATTTCTAGTGTTTTACTAGAGGAAATTAGATTTCTAAAATCTTTTCATTTCAGTACATTATGTGTACAGAAAAGTAGAGTGTAAGTGCAGTGAATTATTACAAAGCAATATCATTACTCAAGGCAAGAAAGAGAGCACTACCATACTTTTTATTCACAGTCATTGCCCCTTACCTTTCTTTTAAAAAATAAATATTATCTTGGTTTAGCTTAACCAAACTTTGACTTTATGTAAATAGAATTATACAGTATGGTTTCTTTAGTGTTTGTCATTTTTTGCTTCATCTAGTATTTGTAAAATTCATCTGTTAATGCATGAAGCTATAACTATTTTCATTTCTGTATAATATTTCATTGTACGATTATTGTTTTATTTATTCGTTCTACTATTGGTGAACATTTGGTCTTTTTTCTGTTTTTGAGCTATAATGAATAACGATCATGTGAACTTTCGTGCTCACGTCTGTGGTGCCCCTGTGCCATTTCTGTTGATCATGTACCCACGAGTAGAATTGCTGTGTGAGTGGGTTTGCTTATGTTCACCTGCTGTCGGATCCTGCCGAACAGTTTTCCAAAAGATACCAACCTACCATCCCATCAGCAGTGTAGGCAGGTTCCCGTAGGCTCCATATTCTTGCTAACATCTTTATATTCTCCTCATCCTTGTCGGTATACAGTGGTATCTAATTGTGATTTTATGTTACATTTCTCTGATGACTACCAAGGTTGAGAATCTTCATTTGCTTCTGAGTAATTTAGCTGTCTTATGAAGTACATGTTCACACTTCTGGTCCATTTCCCCACCAAGTTTTGTCTCTCAACCTTCAGCTGATGTGTGGAAATTCCTTACGTGTGCTTGCCTGGTAACACTGGTAATCTCCTAAATTGCGACTTACCATTTTAGTCTCTTAATGAAACCTTGATGGACAGAAATTTCTTACTTTTAATGTGATATAGTTTATAATGCTTTTTATGTCCCTGTCTTGAAGGTCTTGAAGTTAGTCTCCCAAATAAATTTGCACTTTACAGTACAGTAGCCACTGGTAGCCCCATGTGGATATTGAGCACTTGAAATATGGCTAGTCTAAGTTAAGATGTTCTGTCTCTGTAATATACATAATTTCAAAGACTTATTAAAAAGGAATCTAAAAATCTCAGTGAGAATTTTATGTTGATTACATATTAAAACAATATTTTAGATATAGTGGGTTAAGTAAAATAGAACATAAACACCGGAAACCTGTATAATTTTGTTAATCAGTATCACCCCAATAAGTTCAAAAAAAGGAAAAAATGTATAAATAAAAAAATAGAGCATGAAAATTGCTTTCACCAATTTATTATAGGAAACTTTAAAATTACATAATTGACCCAATTATATTTCTGTGTCTAGAAGCATGTGGCCAAGAGAACAGTCTGAGATGTGGGGCTTGTCTTGTGTCCACACTGTCCATTATGATAGCAGTGATCCAATGTGGCTGTTGAGTATTTACAATGTAGCTTAGGGTGACTAGGAAGGTGAATTTTTAATTTAATTGTAGTTAGTTTAAATTTAAGTAACCACATGTGGCTTGTGGTTACCATATTGGACTACACAGTTCTGAGCATTTTATTGCTTCAACATTTTTTGGTTTAGGTTTAAATCCATCCGTAATTGATTTTTATAATATGAGGATAGTGATTGTTTTATTTATTTTTTCTTCTATATGGAAATTTAGTTGACCAACCACCAAGGAAAAGAGAAATCTTATTTTCACATGCTCTATTTTGTTTCTTTGGTATGTTTGTTTGTTCTTAAACTAAATATCATACTCTTTAGTAACTGGTAGAGTAAGTGCCCTGATCTCATTTTTTAAAAGTGCCTTGGCCACTCTTGGCCCTTCCTGTTTCCACCTAAATATAAAAAACACCTCAAATTCTCACAAAATTACTTCTGAGAGTTTGAAATTTTTTTTAATTTATTGATTCTTTAGAAAGAGTGAAAGAGAAAGAGAGAGAGAAACAACAATTTGTTGCTCCACTTATTTATGCATTCAGTGGTTGCTTCTTGTATGTGCCCTGACTGGAGGTCAAACCTGCAACCTTGGCATATGGGGACAACATTCTAACCAACTGACTTACTTGGCCAGGACACTGCTGGGATTTTTATCAAGATTACATTAGATCAGTTTCATATTCAATCATAAACATGATGTAGTCATCCATTTATATAGGTCTTTAATTTCTCTCAATAATATCTCATTCTCTTTTTTTATGTAAAGGTCTTCTAAATCTTTTTGTTATATTTACTCCTAGCTATTGGCTATTATAAATTATACTGTTTTCTAATTTTATTTTCTAATTATTGCTGGTATATAGAAACAGTTGATTTTAGGCTATAATGTCCTTATATCCAGCAGCTTGACTAAATTAACTTATTAATTCATAGAGATTCTTTTGGATTTTCTATGTACCCAATCCTGCTGTTTGTGAATAATGACAATTTAATTTCCTTTTGATTCTTACACATTTTATCCCTTTATTTCATCTTGCCTTATTGCACTGACCACGGCCTCAAGAGCAGGAGCAGCAGACTTTGTGAAGGACCAGATAGGAAGGAAGCCAGCAAATATCCTGTATAAATATATACACTCTCAAGTGTTGTGCTAAGAGTGAGTCAGAGTAGTTTGGTGCATGAGTCTTGAACAGTTTGTGTTAATTCAAAGGACTGTATGCTGTTTTGATAAAAGGGGCCATTTCTACACGGAATTAGAAGAGGAAAGAACGATTAATGGCCATGAAAGAAATGGGGTAAAACATTTGCCCAGTGGATTGGCAACTGCTGGAAAGTTTATGATTATTTTGAATGTGACTAAGTATAAACTAATATTTGCCTTTCTTTTTAAATCCCTTTAGGAAAAGTAGAAATGAAGGTACATATGCACACAAAATTTTGCCTCATTTGTTTGCTGACATTTATTTTTCATCATTGCAACCACTGCCATGGAGACCATGAGCATGGTCCCGAAGAGCATCACAGACACCATCATGGAATGACGGAGTCGGAGTCAAGCAAATTTTCAGTGCAGGATGCTGAAAATGAAAAAAAATACTATATTGAGAAACTTTTTGACCGTTATGGTGAAAATGGAAGATTATCCTTTTTTGGTCTGGAGAAACTTTTAACAAACTTGGGCCTTGGAGAGATTAAAGTAGTTGAGATTAATCATGAGGATCTTGGCCACGATCATGTTTCTCACTTAGATATTTTGGCAGTTCAAGAGGGAAAGCATTTTCACTCACATAACCATCAGCATTCCCATAAGCATTTAAATTCAGAAAACCAAACTGTGACCAGTGTATCAACAAAAAGATACCATAAATGTGATCCAGAGAAAGAGACCATTGAAGTATCTGTCAAATCTGATGATAAACATATACATGATCGTAATCATCGCTTATGTCATCACCATTGTTTGCGTCATCACAACCTTGATTATAACACTACTCAGCATTTTCCTAATGATTCCATTACTCACAGTGAGCATGGGGAGCCTAGCCATGAACCTTCGACAGAGACCAATAAAACACAGGAGCAATCGGAAAGTAAGCTACCAAAAGGAAAGAGGAAGAGGAAAGGGAAGAAGAGTCATGAAAATTCAGAGGTTATTACACCAGGTTTTCCTCCTAACCATGATCAGGGTGAACAATATGAACATAATCGGGTTCATAAACCGGATCGTGTACACAACCCAGGTCATTCTCATGTACATCTTCCAGAACATACTGGTCATGATCCTGGTCATGGACACCAAGATCCTGATCCTGATAATGAAGGTGAACTTCGACATACTAGAAAGCGAGAAGCACCACATGTTAAAAAAAGTGCAATTTATTCAGCAGCAAGTCATAAAGATCATAATGAAGATGACCGTCAACATGAGGTCAGTATAAAAAGGTTGTTGCTCCATAATTCTCAGATAATTGGGGAGCATTTTAGGTAAAAAGAAAAGCAACAGTGGAATAGTTAATCATGTTTAGACTTATTTCTGGGTAAAGTAAAATAAATAACATCAAAGAATTAAAATCAGGTTAAAGATCTTTATCTGGATTTTCACTTGCATTCTTTGTTCTCAAATTTGGGTTCTTAAAATCTGAATGTTTGCAGGTTATTAGAAATTACACTCTTGTATTTATTCTTTATTTTACTGTCTTGCTTATGATTCTTTTAGACTTCCAAGTTAGTTTTCATGTTGTTACTATTAGCTGGTTTCCAGATACTCTAGTCAGTTTTTTCTCTGGGGAAGTGACAGTTTCTTATTCAAAACTATTAAGTTGTTGAATTAATTGTGAATTGGTTCCCACTCATTAATATAGCTCTGTATCAGGTATTTTGTAAATATGGTAGGTTTTTTTTTTCTATATCACTTTATGATATGGCCTACTTGCTTATAATATAGTTTTTTTTCATGCCTTTGACAGATTTAGGCTGAATATAAAAAGATGTAATAGGAAGCTAAAAGTAATGGGGTGATCGTGGTTTTCTTCTGAATTTTCATGATTTTTTTAGTATTTTCACATTTGATTGGTTCCTTCTTAGTTTTTTTTGAACTAGTCATCTTAAACACTTTGTTTCATTAAAGATATATTAACACCTTTATTCTAATTTTTATCACTCAAGTTTTAAAAAATTAATTGAATTTGTTGTTCATATGTATGAAAGCACCATCGAATGTGGAATACGACTTCACCCTTTATTGTTTATGTCTCTATTATTGAAGTATGTTTTGCATCTAAGTAAATATCTTGGTGTTTTTTCCCTAGAGAAATCATCAGGTACTTGGTTTTTAGCAGTATAAATACTGATTTTAATATAACTCATTTTTAAATTTTAGTATACTTTTAAAGGTATATGTTCATTTATTACTATGGATGATATTCTAGAATCTTTTGTTGATAATAACTGGACAATATCATTAATGTTTATTCTTTGTGTCAAAGTTTTGGTGTCTGAATCGTCAGACCTGATGCATATTGGGAATTTTCTCAGGGTTTATGGAAATACTGTACGCATTGGATAAGGTACTATAGTATCTTATGTTAAAACCTGAGAAGAGTCATTTTTGTTTGTTTGTTTGTTTATAGGTATGTTCTGACTTATTTTTTTGTACATAGATAAAGTCATATAATGAGATAGCAAGTCAATGAACAAGCATGCTACCTCAGTGGGTACATATAAAAAAAAGAGGCAGTACCATCTTTTTTGCCATGATTTAAAATATTTGTTTGCTATATGATGGACTCAAACTGGATTACTCTGTTGCCTGCTTTGTTTTGTTTTGCACTTTAAAAAGAACCAGTGGATGAAGCTGCCTTTTTTTTTTCGTCTTCCAGTTTTAGCACTGAGTTAGAATTCTTCAATATAATACTCTTTCGGTGCGCCTTGCGCAGTGAAAAAGCCTATATTATAGATTAATATAAAGTTATTAAAGTACTTTAAGTTTATTTAGCATTCTTTTACAAGGCTGAATCTTGAGTGATAAGTACACTTTGACTAGAGAAGTGATTTTGTTCCTCACTCTTTAAGCATCTCGGGAATATAGTTGTTTGTGAATCTCTCTTATCGATGATGAAAGATCATTATCTTTCATGTGTTAGAGTGGAAAAATGGTACAAGTCCATAAAAAGTCTTGGGTAACAAGTTGAATGTATCTCCATCATAAATTTTTATCCAAAAGCTTTACTTCTAGTAGATGTCTATATATGACAGATTATTTCCAAATACTAATAGAATATTTTTCTTATAATGTACTTTTTCTGCTTAATCCTCTTACAGAACTCTTACTTAATTTGTTTTATCAATTTCCTTGCAGTGCTTGAATGTCACTCAATTGTTGAAACACTATGGTCACGGTCCCAATTCGCCGATCTCAGCCGATCTGTTTACATATCTTTGCCCCGCATTGTTGTACCAGATTGACAGGAGACTTTGTATTGAGCATTTTGATAAACTTTTAGTTGAAGATTTAAGTAAGGATAAAAATGCAGTTCCTGAAGATAAGGCAAATATAGGGGCATCAGGTAAGAAAGATTTAAGGTTTTTTGTCCTCAACATTGTTTCTATACTACTTTTTTTAAATATAATTGAATTAGAAAGTAGTTCCAGTTTATTGTCTTCCTTGTGGTGTCTTTCAATATGTTTTAATATGTGTGTTTAAAAAACATTGGGGGAAGATACAGTACAATTTACTACCTCTTCCGGTATTTATGGACGAATGCTTTGTTAGAGAACTAGATTTAAAAGGATATACAGGTTTGTGACAAATGGATTGTTCTTGATGGGCAAATGTGAGTAACAGGGCCCCTAATTAAAGTTATTTGGTGTCTTGGCCCTGGCTGGTGTAGCTCAGTGGATTGAGCTTGGGCCTGCGGACCAAACAACCGAGGTTCGATTCCCAGTCAGTGCACATGCCTGGGTTGCAGGCCAGTTCCCAGCAGGGGATGCACGAGAGGCAACCATACATTGATATTTCTCTCCCTCTCTCCTTCCCTTCCCCTCTAAAGATAAATAAATAAAACTTTAAAAAAAGTTATTTGGTGTTCTAATTGCCCAGTATTTAGCAGGGTTTGAGAGGCTCTGGTAAAAAGCTAAGGTTTTTGTTTTTAAGGAAGTATAAAGGGAAGCCAGTGTGGTTCAACCCTAGGAATGTCTCAGAAATGTCAGTATTTGGCATATGAACTTCATCATGGGCATTTCTAAAGAGCTCAACTAAGGTGCAACCAAAACTATTTTCAAACTTTTCTGCGCCCTTTTCCCTATCTATAGTGACTCAATAGTTCCACTTTGACGTTCACAGGTACCTCACACTTAGTATTTCCAAACTTTACTCCACATACAATTTGTATCTTTTACTGAATCCCAGTCTATTAAAATCCATGCTTTTGATAATCTGAAAATCTTTGACTTTTTTCTCTCAAGTGTTTGTTTCCTTTTTTCCTTGTATAGTCAGTTGTCAAGTCCAATTGAGTCTTCTCTTAAATATCTCTTAATTCACTGTGTTATGACTTCAGTTCAGGTCCTTGGTTTTTTATTGAATTGTTGAAATAACTTTATAACCTTTCCTGTCTATGTTCTTGACCCCTGGACTTCATCATCTTTAGCACTTAAGCTAGATCTGTCTTTCTAAATTGCAAGTGAGATTCTCTGATGAGTTCTTTCTTTGTAGTGATAGTTAACATTTTTATTTTATATATTAGCAATTAGGAATAGCAGGCACTTTTCTAAACTCAGTTTATTGACTCCTCAAAACAGTCCTGTGAGGTGGAGAATGTTATCCTCATTACTTTGCCAAAGTCTCAGACCAGTAAATGAGATTACTAGAAGCTAGAATCCAATGCTTGGATTCTAGCTTAGGAAGTTGAACTAATTTGTTATCCATGTTCTAGGTGTTGTACGTGCTTTTTTCTTTTCATTAAATTTTAACAGTAATCTATTAAAGTATTATATGAGGGAGCTATTAAATGATTCTTAAAGGTAAGGGAGCTGGGGTACAGAAAAGTTTAGAAACTTAACCAAAATTCCTGCCCTAACAAATGATGAGCCTACAAACCCTAAAGTTGTCTGATAAATCCTGTAGGGAGTTCATCACTATGCCATTATCTTCCAAAATTAGTTAATTCTGGTATCAACTTGGTGTTATCTCTAATATCTAATATCTCTAATATTTTTATTTATGTTTTATATATTAAAAGCAATAATATGAATTTGATGTCATGTGTTATATTTTTCCTCAGATATTTTAGGAAACTGCATTGTGCTTTATTGTTTAAAGTTCAAAGTCCTTTATTCAGCCAGTCAGGATTTCTAGAATATAAACTCTGCCTGCCTGTCTTCCATTCTTATCCCCCATCATTCATTTATTTCTTCTTCACTCTAATCATAGCAAACTTCTGATAATAGGTTATGCTGTTTCGTCCTCATTCTTCACAGCCTTTTCACATTCTAAACCTCTCTACCTGACTGACTACTGTGATTCCTCAAAATTTCAGCTCAAGGATTAGCCTCTCTGAGATAATTTACCGATCATCCTAGGATTAATTAAATCTCCTTTCTTGACACCCTGTGGATATTTTCATCATAGCACAGAGCTTGGGGGATCTTAATAATTGTATCAACTGTTTTTGTGACTTCACTTGCTTGAAGGAACTGACTCTTTTATCTCAGCATCGGAAGTGCCTAAGATAAAGGGAACTTTGGACCAAAAGTAAGCGCTAGTATATTGGTTAAATGAATTAATTGCTTAAGATTAGCCTATAAGGGTTCAATTATAAGCCAGGAAAGACACTTGTTGAAAATGAGGCTTTGAAAATCATCTTATGAATATATCAATCAACCTGATGAACTTGGGTAGGTAATATTTGGTGAGTGGGATTTCCATGAACTTAATCATGTGCAGAATCATGTTGAACACAGTGCTGGTTGAAATGCCCAAGATGTAGTGGTGCTATTGCATAGTCATTAAAATGATTATATCAATTTAATAGGGCCTAAAAACAGAATTCTGAGATAAAGTTGAAAGGACAGAATTAAAATGTTTTTCTTAGTGTAGTAATAAGGTTTAAAAATATTATATTTCAGTATATAAGGTTTACTTGGGGTAGAGATATTTCTTAAAGCTTGAAAGAATACAAACAAAGTGCTCTCAATGTATATAACAAAGTAAGTCTTTTAGGTGCTGCCTATTCTTAGTTAATTTCTTTGCAGTAGGAAAGTAACTTGAGAATAGGTAAATTAATCATGATTGCCTATATTGTTGGAACCTTACCCTGTACTGTTCTAAACACTTCTACAGGTGTTTAATATGCTTCATTTAACTGTTAAACCCATGAGATAGGTACTTTTATTAACTTCTATTTGCTGAGGAAAGGAGGCTTTGAGAAGTTAACTTCCATAATGTCACATAGCTGCCAGGGAACCTATCTGCCTAATCGGAATTAGAGTATTGTCTGTGTAGAAGCCTAGAAACAAACCTTCAGAAAGAGAAACTAAGAAAACAGTCCTGTTTACAATTCAATCAATCAATCAATCAATAAATAAGGCACCTAGGAATAAATGTAGCCAAGGAAGTAAAATATCTTTTCTCAGAAAATTTTAAAATGGAAGAAGGTACAAATAAGTTGAAGCACATACCAAATTCATGCATAGGAAGACTTAGCATCATTAAAATGTTCATACTACCAAGCAGTCTATGGATTTAAAGTAATCCCTATCAAAATACCAATTGAATTTTCATAGAACTAGAACAAATATTCTAAAAATTTGTGTGGAACCACAACAGACTCCAAATAGCCTTGGCAATCTTGAGAAAGAAGAACAAAGTTGGAGGCATCATGCTACTTGATACCAAACTATATACTACAAGGCATGGTACTGGCATAAAAACAGACCAACAGATCAATAGATCAGTGGAACATAATAAAGAACCCAGAAAATAAGCCCACATCTTTATGGTCAATTAATATATGACAGAGGAAATAAGAACATACAATGGGATAAGGACAATCTATTCAATAAATGGTATTGGGAAATTTGTGCAGGTACATGCAAAAAAATGAAAGTAGACCATGTCTTTACACGGATACAAGAATAAACTCAAAATTGATTAAACACTTAAATGTAGATAGCCAGAGGGAAGAGAGGGCGAGGGATGTGGGCAGGTGCATGGGAATGGAGATATCTGTAATAGTGTAAACAATAAAAATAAAGAAAAAAAAAGACTTAAATGTAAGACTCCAAACTGTAGTAATCATAGAAGAAAACATAGGCAGTAAAATCTCAGGCATTTCTCATGGCAGTATTTTTTCTGGTATATCTTTTCAGGCAAGGGAAACAAAGGAAAAGCCAGTGGGACTACATCAAACTAACAAGTTTTTGTGCAGGAAAGAAAACTATCAACAAAATAGAAAGACAGCCCATTGAATGGGAGAACATACTTGCCAAAGCTATGTCTGATTAGGGGTGAATATTCAAAATTTATTAAGCACTTGACTCAATACCAAAATCAAACAATCCAATTGATGGCCAGAGAGAAGGGGGCTGCAGGGGCTGAGTGGAGGCAGGCAAAGGGGGACAGAAATGGGGACATCTGCAATAGTGTCAATAAGTGTCAATAATAAGAATAAAGAAAAAGCCCTGGCTGGTGTAGCTCAGCGGATTGAGCACGGGTCTGCGAACCAAAGGATCGCGGTTCGATTCCCAGTCAGGGCATATGCCTGGGTTGCAGGCCAGTTCCCAGCAGGGGACGCACAACAGGCAACCATACATTGATATTTCTCTCCCTCTCTCCTTCCCTTCCCCTCTAAAGATAAATAAATAAAAATCTTTGAAAAAATAAAGAAAACATTTTGAAGTTTTTAAAAAGGTGTTGAGGAGAAAAAAAATGGGCAAAGGACCTGAATAGACATTTCTCCAAAGCGGACATACAGATGGCCAATAGAGATATGAAAAGATACTTGGTATCACTAATTATAGGAAAAATGCAAATTAAAACCTCAGTGAGATATCATCTCACATCCGTCAGAATGGCCATCATTATTCAACAAACGAGTGCTGGTGAGGCTGTGGAGAAAAGGGAACCTTCTAGCACTGTCAGTGGGAATGCAGACTGGTGCTGCTACTGTGGAAAACAGTACCGAGTTTCCTCAAAAAACTAAAGCTGGAACTACATTATGACCTGGTAGTTCCGCTTCTGGTAACACTTCTGAAGAAACCCAAAAACACTGATTCAAAAGAAGACATGCCTCCCCTATGTTCATTGCAGTCCTATTTACAACAGCCAAGATTTGGACTCAGCCCAAGTGCCCACCAGTAGATGAGTGGATACAAAAGCCGTGGTACATTTGCACAATAGAACACGACTTGGCTGTAAATGAGAAGGACGTCTTTCCTTTTTTGACAGTATGGATGGGCCTGGAGAGTATTATGCTAAGTGAAATAAGCCAGTCAGAGAAAAATAAATACCATGTGATTTCACTCATCCATGGAATCTGATGAATAAAATAACAAACAAAATAGACTCATAGATTCTGAGAAATGACTGACAGCTGTCAGAGGGGAGGGATGGGGTTAGGGGCCTGGGCGAAAATAGGTGAAGGGATTACACTAAAAAAAAACCCCTCATAGATAATAGACCTCGGTGTGGCGATTACCAGAGGGAAAGGGGGTGGGAGGCAGGAAGGAGAGGGTGTGGGGGTGGAATAAGGTGATGGAAGGAGACAGCACTGGGTGGTATACACACCCGATGTATTACAGAATTGTACTCTTGAAACCCATATAGTTTTATTAACCAATATAACCCCAATTAATTCACTAAAATATTTTTAAAAATGAACAATAAAAGCCTTTGAATGTAACCTCTGTCTTTAACCTAGGCTATGCTGCACTGCTTTGCTAGAATAGGTTAAAAAGGTTCTTTGCTAGAAGATAAAAAGGTTCTTTGCAAGAATATGACAGGGAGGTAGTTATCTTTAGTTATCTGTTAAAACACCACTAAAGTGATGATAGAGGTAAATATTGGTATGTAATTATTACTATAATTCTAGAGTAGTAAGGAAAAATACAAGAATAGTCTTTTAGGTAGACAAGCTAGGTTCAGTCTGGTAGGATCAGTAAAGCAGAGAAAAGTGAGTCCACACCCCAGATTTGAATGCTGATTTTTGGATAAAATATGTTCCCCTTGCTGGCTTCCTATTCACTGATCTTTGTAGATGAGTAAATATTTCAAGAGTTACTGTCATTTGCAGGTGCTTCTATATTCTCCTTGTGACAGGAAAGGGAAGCTAGGCCAGAGATTACTTAACTTAATTAAAAATAAAATTAATTTGTTCTATACAGAGAAAAAGGAAGACTGATGGGATTATCACATCAACAGTTAAGATGAATAGCCTTTTCTGTCTTTAAGGCCTTGAAAAATTCTACATCTTTGCTTTTCACATCAACTGTGGATTATGACTTAAAGAGTTTTTGAGTTGCAATATTGGCATAATCTATTTTATAAGCTGTTGACAGATGCTTGACTATAATAATATTGAAAATTACAACTCAATCTGAAAAGCTTAAAGACAAATATATTACTAATAGTAAATATTGATTAGTTGTTTGCAGGTGGTTAGTAGCATGGTCAGAAATGAAGACTGAATTCTATCCCAATAGATGTTAGTAATTGTTAGAGAGAAAGCCCTTATAGAAATTATTTTTAATGACTGCCGCACCATTAAGAAAGGTTGACTTGTTCTGTGTAAATCTCCCATAGTGACACAGCCACTACCTCATTAACTGTTCAAAGAGTGCTGTAAACCAAATACATTATATACTGTGTATGGTAGAAATCGTTTGTTTCACAAGATTGGCTCATTTAGTCATAGAGTTGACCCTAGCTTAATTACCAAGGGGGTTTGTGAGCAGGTCGCTAAGCATTTTATGCCAATTAAAATGCTGAAACAGTATACAAAACTGCCATCTTGCACATGCTTTGAACCAAGTTAATTAGAAAGTTTCCACAGATGAGTTCTTTTTAAAAGAATGCATTTTCTCTCTAGATAATGAGAAAGGGAGTTGGTGAATAACTAAGCTTGAAGACCTTTAACATTTTAAGCAACTCAATTTGCAGAATAAGTGAAGCTTGTTTCAGACATTTATTTAGAGGGTTTTTTTTTTTATTGCATTTGGTATCTTGGATACAAATAAAACATTTACCAGTTATATGTAATAGTTTGTATATTGTTAGTTTGGTGTAAGTTTTATAAAAGATGCCTTTATTATTTTTGTTTTTTGGTTTTGCTTTATACTAAATAAATTATGATTGAAAAAGCACAATAATTTGATTAAAAATCAGAAGAATTTTATTACCCAAATTGCTTTTTTCAACACCTAGGAAATTATGATAGCTTTTATTTAAGCTCAAATGTAAATATTACTAATTGTAAAATGTGAAGTTTGTTTTCTTGAAGTAGTGAATTGTACACAAAGCTAAGTTGCAGGAAGGAGTTTAGAACTGGCTGTGGAGGAGAGATGATGTTGAGGAAAACAACTGAGTTATCCTTTAGAGCAGATGTAAAATTATCCTTTTACATCACTGTGATGTAAAAATTAGAAGTGAAGTACAGCGAAGCTACCATACCAGTAATAAGGCTCTTTTGTATGCCATGTGAATATATTTCCATTTGGGGCTGAAAGGTAGTTTCTTAAGCTTTGTATTAGGAAGATTTACAAAAATTACAGTACTTTAGATATTTGGCTTCCTTTAAAGCTCACAGGAGAGGTTTATAATTACATTCTTCAAAGTTCTATTGCTGTAGCTGTGCCTTTAGGATTAGTAAAATTTAATGTACAATTTAGATATTGAGTGAATCACAGTCTTAAGTCATTTTAAGTCCATGTTTTTGGTAAGGTGGGCCACTGAAGATACTGTTTATAATTTTTCCGAATTTCTTTATTCATTTTTAAGTGTTCAAATTAGCTTTATGGTGTTTTGTTTTGTTTTTAAATACAGCAGTGCCAAAATATAAAGTTTCTGAAAAAGCATAGTCTGGGTAAAAGAACCTATTGTCTGTGACTCATTTATCTTACATTTAGTATTTCTTGGGAACTTTGTTGGTTTGTTTTGTCATGCTAATGTTGATTCCAATTTCTTTCCTACAGCATGGATTTGTGGCATCATTTCTATCACTGTCATTAGCCTGCTGTCCTTGCTAGGCGTGATCCTGGTGCCCATCATCAACCAAGGATGCTTCAAGTTCCTCCTCACGTTCCTTGTCGCTCTGGCTGTGGGAACGATGAGTGGAGACGCCCTTCTTCACCTACTGCCCCATGTAAGAAACGTTTTCAAACTTTAAAAAAACTAAGAATAAAAATATTTAAGCTAAAAATGTCTTTCATTAGCAAGCTGTAGCACAATCTAGTATTCATGCTATTTTGTTTGCTTAATAGGATAAAGTATTTATTCCCATTTGAACAGTTTTAATAGCAGCACTTTTGAAATAAACTGAATGGTTAGGTTTCAGAATAACAAAAAAAACTGGTAATGTAGTTTTATGTTCACCTGTTATAATGTGTACATATCAAATCACAAGATACACGTTAAATATCTTACATTTTATAATTTAGTTATGCCTCAGTAAAACTAACTTAAAAACAGAAGAAAATCTTGCTTTATTGGCATTTCTGAAAATAAATGATTAAAAAATCAGTGAGTGATTTTTTTATCTCTGTAGATATTAAGGAAGCCTTAGAAGAAATGTATAAGGGATCTTTTTATTTTCTTAAAGATTTTATTTATTTATTTTTAGAGAGGGGAGGGTGGGAGAACAAGAGGGAGAGAAACATTAGTGGGTGGTTGCCTCTTGAACACCCCTTACTGGGAACCTGGCCTACAACCCAGGCATGTGCCCTGATTGGGAATCAAACCAGCAACCCTTTGGTTTGCAGGCTGTTGCTCAGTCCACCGAGCCACACCAGCCAGAGCATATAAGGGATACTGTAGTGACTGTATGTACCTGTATAGCCACTGCGCCACAGGCATCTTTATTGGAGCAGGAATAGATAGACCAGCTCAGCTATTGTAGGCATTTAGCTCTTTACAAACTGAGCCATTTACCTTTTCCCCTGGCCTGCCACTTGTTTTTGAACAAGTGGGTACACTTCTAATGATGTGATTATAAGCCCAAACTTTTAGTGCCTTGATTATGCCTTTTGCAGTCTATTTTGTTGCCAGTTAAGAGTATTTGATCTAGTGTTGATTGTTTTTACATCACTGTATGAAAACATTGGGACTTTTTTATTCCAAATGTAAAAAAAACAGGTTTGAATTTTTTTTGTATTCTCACTGCCTCCCTCCCAAAGTGTTTGGGAGACAAAATTGTACTTGTTTGTTGTATATACTGCTTCTCTCCCTCTGTACTCTTGGTTGAGAATTCCATAGGTAGCATCTAGAACAATGTATGGCATGCCTTTAAAAAAGTAATTAATTCCTCTTAAAATAGAATATAATTTTTTAAAGTTCAGTCATTATATTGTATATTATTTACTTGTTTTCCTCTTTATTTCCACCTCATTGCTTGCCTTTCTGTCAAGAGGAATAGCAACAGTCTGTTTCAAAACTGGGCCTAATGAGAACAGTTGAAGTGAAAAACAAACTTTTAGTGCTGCGTAACTTATATTTTCCTCAAAAAATTTTTATTGAATAAAATTAATACCATTTTGAATGGGTTTTCTTCCTTTGTGAAGTTCAGAAACCTCTTCTGTTGACCACTAGCAAACGGGGAAAGACTGCAAGTGTTATAAGCAAGGAAATACGTAAGAATAGTTCTAATGCCTAAAGTTCTCTAAGGTTAATATTGTGCCTTTATTTCACAATTAAAAATACATTTCACAATTAAAAATAACCTTATTTCCGCATATATATTTATTTTTGCTTAAGTTTAAAATATAGAAAATTAAGCATGTATTTCATGCTTAATTGTTTTTCAAGCACGCTTAATTAAGCATGTATAATTAGTTTAAGAAAAAGTTAGATTACAGGGAGTCATAATGATCACCTGCTGGAGAATTAGTTTGTTTTAGTTTTACTAAATATTAGGTGTTTATCTGGGTCTTGTTCATTTAAATTTACAAAGGACCCATCACTCCTATTCTCTATTGCTTACTCGGTTCTCCCACTATAATATGTACCTTCACCCCATAGGCTTTTGAGTTTGGGGTCTTTGTTTTAGAGTCACCATGAACTGTACAATAGTACTTTTCAGGCCACTGAATATAGCAAAATTAACTGGAAGAGTACTTATTTTCAAGTGAGATAATATTTAAGGGCCACTTCCGAAATTAAAAAGTATTTTTTCTGTATTATCTAGATTACAATCTTGGAATTTAAAATGGCATTCCCATGACTTGTTTAGAAGTTTTTCTTATTTTTAATAATAGTCTCAGGGTGGACATGATCACAGTCATCAGCATGCACATGGGCATGGCCATTCTCATGGACACGAATCCAAGAAGTTTTTGGAAGAGTATGATGCTGTATTGAAAGGACTTGTCGCTCTAGGAGGCATTTACTTGTTATTTATCATTGAACACTGCCTTAGAATGTTTAAGCACTACAAACAGCAAAGAGTAAGTACTTTTGAATTGTTTATTTCATTTTCTGGGGTATAAAACTCAAAACGAAGACCATTATTTTCTGGCCATATGCTTAATTATGGTATTGTTGTGTATTAAATCTCTATCAGGAATAAATGGCTTTGATCTTGGCCATTTTTTTCACATTTATAATCAAGAGATAGCAGTCTCAGTCTTAGAGCATTTGCATTATCACATCTTACCTAATTGATTTAAGTAGGATGGAAAAAGCTATTGGTCAATTTATGCTTATAAAAATGCAAAAATGTATAAATAGAAGCAAGTTTCTTCAGTCTTCTTAGGTAATATTTTCAAGTATAAATGGCTTTTATTGTCATATATTATAGTGAAAATGTTTTCAGACAGCATTTCTTTATCAGAAAAGCCTTGTCAATGGTAATACTAGAGGTAATAAGAACTTAGATTCTTGAATATATTTCACTAACATGCTTGTGATACTAATGCTGATTATCTGCAATATATTATCTTCAAGTAAGTAAATCCAGAGAACATTTTTATGTGCCTTTCCACAAAAAAAGGTTAAAAAATTCTTATATTTTGTTAATTAACTATAAATATTCAAAAAAGAAAAAACATCTTTTTTGGGGGGAACATTGGGTAGTCATGATCATAATGTATAGAGTCCACACTTACGGTACTATTTTTATACTGTTTCGATATACACATATTTTGTGTACGTACGTGTTTTGTGTGTATCCTTGAGGCAAGATCAGTGGTTTATAATAGAGCCCTGAACTGGAGCACAGGGCACGTGCTTCTGGTCCTTGCTCGGCCGCACACTGGCTATGAAACTGATTCGTTCCTCCTGACTTCCAGTTGCTACCAAAATCTATGGGAAATAAATCCTGTGTCTTATTTTTATACTATATTCCAAGCAGTGTATTTAATTTTTAAGTGCCATATTTTTGTCAGGACACCATCATATTTAACTGTCTCCAAAGGAGGAGCGATCGAGATGGTGTGCCCAGGGAAGAATTACCTGAGGAGTGGTGGAAGGCACTGGGGAGGACCACCGTGTAGAAAAGTGAAAGAGGTGGAATGGTCTTTGGTTTTTGAAGGGTGTGTAGAAGGTCATGTCTGTGGGTGAAGAACAGAATGTGGTGGGAAGGAGGGATGACAAGATAGAGTGGCTGAAGGAAGTGTGTCAGCGAAGAAGATTCCTGCCAAGTCATTTAGAAAAAGTGATGTGGGCTCGAACAAGGCATGGCGTGAGGAGTGGGGAAGAGGAGGTGATTAAGCAAACTGTTAAAATGAAAGAATCAATAAGAAGACTTGGTATCTGATTAGATGTATTAAATACAAGAATTCAAAGTTCCTCTCTGTGAGTACCTAATTTAAAACAGTTACGTATTGCAAAGTATATTGAAATTCCTGTGAAGCCCTAGTTTTGTTGTATATACCAACACTGAAACCAGCAGATATTAAGTACTTAATGTGTATAAATTATTAGGGACTGCATAATTTACAAATATGTGCAAAAATTTTTTTTTATAATTTTGATCTCATCTTGAACCTAAATTTACCACCAAAATTAAACACATTTATTTTTGTAAACTAAACTCATGTAGGTACACAGAGTCCCCAAAATAGGGCAGCTTTTTTTGTAAATTTGAAATTGTGGGAAATAAAAAACTAAAGGGAATGCCTTTGGCAGGAAGAGTATTGCAAATCTAATACGAAATTCTTCAATTATATCAAAGAAAGGAATCTAGGCAGATAAAGCAGCACATCTCCTTTATGATAAATAGAACAACAAGTAATCTAAAATGGAAAAATGTAGGCATTTTTTGAAGGAAGGAGATTAGTGATACTTGAACAGAACAGACATTGGTTGTCCGATACTGGAAAAGAGCTTTCAGGGCATTGGTTGAATGTACCGGACGATGACTAGTCTCAGCAGGACTGAGGCTTTCAGGGCAATGATTTGGCAAGTCGTTAGGAAAGTGGACAATCAGGACCAAAGCAATTAAACAAAATCCCAGCTGTCGTTCGTGTTTTCTTCACTTTCTGTCACCCTCTCATTGACTTTTGCACTGTCATTGGCTCCTTCTTCCTTTTTTTTCTTCATTAACTGTGACTGATGTTTCTTTTTAGGATGTCTCCGTATTATTTTCTGTTGAACATTTACTATTTCCCCAGTTTCTGCTATCTATTGCTATGAGGCAGAACAACCCAAAACTTAATGGCTTATAACAATAATTTATTATTTCTCTTAATTCTGTCAGGAACTTAAGCAGAATTCAGCTGGGCAGTTTTTTTGCTTCACTTCGTGTCAGCTAGAGTCATTCTCTGCTCTATGCAAACTTGGGCAGCCAGGGCAAGGCAGGGCTGAAGGCCCGAAAAATGCTTCACTCTATGTCTGTATGCCTCCATCTTGCTACTTCTTCCATATGGCCTCTCATCAAAGTCTAGACTGAGCTTCTGCATGGCAGAGTAACTAGTTTCTGTGAACAAAAGCAAAAGGTGCCAGGCCTGTCCCTGGCACAGCATAGCTTCTGTCACATTTGATTGGTGAAGGGAAGTCAAAAGGCCAGCCAAAATTCAAGGGCAGAGGATAGACTTCATGTTCTTGCGGGTGGAGAAGAATGCTCAGACAGGCAGGGAAGAAATTGATGGTGGCTGTCTCTGAAGACTCTTACCACACAAGTAGCAGTAACAGGCTTGCTTATGCAGCAGCTAGAAGGCTGAAACATCTGAAACATAGCTTACAGCCTATAAGCAAAGCCAACTACAAGAAAATGCTCTGCCAGTCAGTAAGCATCTCCCAGAGAATACTGCTTTTTACTTTCACACTATCCTAACGTACTTGATTATTTGTTCTCTTAAGTTAACATAGATTAGAACTTCAAGCTAGAAGAGTTGTCAGTGGTAGTTACTTGATAAAAGAAAAAAGCAGACTATTGCAAGATAAGATAGGAAAATTCAAACACAAACAATGAAGTATAATAATTAGAATTAATTAATAATTAAGAACAGATTCGATCAGAAACAGAACTTACCTTTTTTTCTGATTTTTTAAAAATTTTTTAATTTTTTTAATTGATTATGCTGTTACAGTTGTTCTATTCCCCCCTTCATTCCCCTCCACCCTACCCCCCCATCCCCACCATTACCCCCCCTTTAGTTTATGACCATGTGTCTCAAGTCCTTTAGATTCTATATTTCCCATGCTATTCTTGCCCCCCCATCTATTTTCTATCTACTATCTATGCTACTTACTTTCTGTACCTTCTCCCCCCATCTCCTCCTCCCACTCCCCTGTTGCTAACCCTCCTTGAGATCTTCATTTCTATGTTTCCACTCCTGATCTAGCTGTCCTTTTAGTTTGCTTTCGTTTTAGGTGTGGTTGTTAATAACTGTGAGTTTGCTGTCCTTTCACTGTTCATGTTTCTTTAACTTCTTTTTCTTAGATATGTCCCCTTAACATTTCATATAATAAGGGCGGTTGGACCGGGCCCGGCATCCCCGCGGCAAGCGGCAGTAGAGGGCGTCGCCATTTCCCCGCTCTGACCACGCCCCCACAAAACTTACCTTTACTGCAAAGCTTAGGATCAGTGACTTATAGGTCACTTTCATACATCACTTCATTTAATCCTTGTAATCATTTTTATTTTACAGATGAGTGTTCCTATGTTTAATACATTTAACAGAAGCTCATAGATGTTAAATGAATATTTGGTATTTTAACTCAAGTCTGTTCAAGTCATGTGTCACAAATAGGAAAATTTTAGATTGCATTAATCACAGGCTAAAATTCAAAGGAATAAGCATTAATTTTTGGAACTTCCTATTCCTACACACTATTTGATAAGAGAGATTACATATATTTCACTTGAGTTGTACATAATAATACTGTACTCTGTATCCTATTCTTTTTTAAAAGATTTTATTTATTTATTTTTAGAGAGAGAGACAGGGAAGTAAGAGGGAGAGGGAGGGAAACATCGACGTGAGAGAGAGACATGGATCTGTTACCTCCTGCGCTCCCCCAACTGGGGACCTGGCTTGTAACCCAGGCATGTTTCTTGACCTGGAGTCAAACTGATGACCTTTTGGTTCGAAGGACGGTGCCCAACTCACTGAGCCACACCATTCTTAACTTTGAATTAAATGAACTTGAATCTTTTAGTTGAGTTTTCATAAAATAAGTAAATAAATAAAATAATAAAAACAAGTTACAAATATAGTTGGATTTTTCATCTGGTTAACTACTAAATTTTTTCCTCACTTCTTTACTAAATAATTTATGTATAAAATTGCTACCAGTTATTCCTACAGATGTTAGTAGGTGAATATTGTTGCTAATTGCAGCTGCAGATTGGATTCTAATACCAGATTTTTTTCCCCAGGGGAAACAGAAATGGTTTATGAAGCAGAACACGGAAGAATCGACTATTGGAAGGAAGCTTTCAGACCATAAGTTAAATAACACACCAGATGCCGACTGGCTGCAGCTCAAGCCTCTTGCTGGTAGACAAAAATTCTGACTAAAGAGAAACTTTTAAAACATAAAAATTGAAATATTGCTTCTAAATTTAGTGTTGTTTGAAAATTTTCTCTTTGTGGCTTCCCTAATATTAGTTTCCCTAATTTTAGTTGAATCTTCATAAATGTGAGTGTGTCTTAATTGTGATTTTGTTAGTTTTTTGTTCATTTCAGCCTAATTTATACTGGAATGTGGGACCAATTAATTATTTTAGAGGGCAAAAAACATATTATACTTGGACTTTATAGAAAAACAAAGAAGGAAACAAAAAAGGCTTTATAAGTGTTAGATTGGTGTACATTTTCTTGGCAGTGCAAGGCCTTCGTGCTGTCCACGTGATGGGTTCCGTGTGCACAAAGGAGAGTCAGCCTTTGCTCTTACAGGGGAGCAGTCTGGTGCTTACAGTCTCTGCCCAGCCCCTGTCTGTTCAAGTGCCTGGAAGATGTAGTAGGTAGCTTACAATTTACAGGGAAACGAAGTTTTTACCTAAGGTTTTCCCTTTGTGTTTGAACTTGTGTTTCCCCTGAGTGTATCAGTGATTTTTCTGCAGAAAAGAGGCAGCCCAGACCTGAACTGTAGCCTCTGCCCCAAAATGCAGTTGGGGAAGTACTAAGATCTTTGTCACATAATAAATAACTTTTGAAAACTAGCTAAGAGGCAACTTTAAGGGAAAAAAAACAAATGTTGTTACGAGCGTCTGAACTTCATTCTAGCAATGATCTAATAGTATTGTCAAATAGGTGGGTCATTGAAAGATGCAAATTATTTGAATTTTGTCTTTGATTTCTTACATGGTAAGAGATTAGCATGTAAACTTTGGGTAAACATTACTGTTTGTAAACAGTGAGTAAACTTTAAGGATTGTCCATTCTCTGAAGAGTTAGGGTTTCACTGTGTTACTGATAAGTGCAGCGGTAACTTTTCACTCCTTTGATGTCCAACTTTAGTTCCCCAGTATCTCCCACCTTTCCAAATTCTCTCCTCACTTTGCCTGCTATTGCTTTGAGTTCCCTCCGTTATTGGGTGTATCTTTTGGACCCTCAGAACCCCAGTTTGTTTCTTGTGTGCCTGTGCTCATGTGAATTAATTTTATTTGCTTTTATATACTTATTTACTTAGTGAATTTTAAAAAACATTCACTTAAGAAATGTTCATTACAATGCTATTCTCCCTGGGTTAAAATGAGCAAATATGTGTCCATTTACTTGTTGATAAAGCATATCCTTTGCTATTACAAATACAGGAACTGATGACTCGGTTGTTTCAGAAGATCGACTTAATGAAACTGAACTGACAGATTTAGAAGGCCAACAAGAATCCCCTCCCAAAAACTATCTTTGTGTAGAAGAGGAGAAAATCATGGACCATGCTCACAGTGACGGATTCCACACCGTCGATGAGCACGATCTCCATGCTGCCACACATAACCACCACGACGAGAGTAAAGCCGTGCTGAGGAAACATGGGCATCAGTGGCACCACAAGCATTCGCATCATTCACATGGTCCCTGTCATTCTGGGTCAGATCTGAAAGAAACAGGAATAGCTAATATAGCCTGGATGGTGATCATGGGGGACGGCATCCACAACTTCAGCGATGGGCTAGCCATCGGTAGGTTCACCGGAAACTCGGGTTCTGATCTGTTGTTCTTCAAGACCGTCTTCTATTTCAGTACGAATCTTACGTACTATAATATGTAAGATTAAAATACAGAGCTTAACTCTAAATCTACTGTTATGTATTACTCCTGTCATTCGGTTTTTCTAAAGGCTGGGTTCATGTTATTGATAAGTTTAGTTGGGGATATAAGGAATAATTTCAGCAGGTTTTTCTTTGAACATGTAAATAAATGTCTATAATATATTATACTTCTTTAATAACTTTATTCAATTCCTTGTTACCATGTTGAAAAAGCTACCTTTACATTATATTTTCAGATACATTTACATCCCTGAATGAGAACAAATTAATTTCAGCTTTAGGTTTAACAATTTTATACATCTAAAAAGGTGAAAAAAATTATAATATTAAAAAAATCTATTGTAACAGATTCTAATACATTAGCATCTTGCTAATGTAAACTGATGTTGCCAGTTTATGAGGGTAGTAAGTGATTTATGCATAATTTTCTTTGAAATCTAGACTCAAATAATTACTCAAAAGTAGGCTTTGGGGTTTTTTTTGTTGGTTTGTTTCTTCTTTTTTCAGAAAAGAGAGACCCTATTTTTGAATCTACAGCGACTATGGGTGTTAAAGAATAAAGAATTTTGCTGGTAGAATTGAATGCACTACACCTATGATCTCAGTCTTCAAGACCAATAATTCTTTGTGCCATTTGTGCTCTAGACCCAGATAGTTTGGATAAAGACACTAGCCATTTTACTCTCCATAAATGGACTTGTAGGAGTTAACATTGAACATCAGTCTACCACTCAGAGGTTGGAATACTGGAAACCACAACTATTTGTAAGCTATTAGTGAGTTAAAAAGCTACATAAATAGAGATTTTAATTTAAAACAGAATATTTCTTTCTCCAAGTGGCTCTTTTTCTGCTTGTAAACACCTATTGAACCCCACTATATGTCCAAAATCTATAGTTTGTAAGATATGTGAGTCACTCATATTACGAAATTAATTTGGATAGGCAAAAGAAACTGCCTATCCAAAAGATGACAGGTAAAAACCTGTCATTAAAGAAACTGGGGGCAAAAAGATCAGTAATCATCACTTTTTTCTTCTCTTTCCCCTCACTTCAGGGGCCGCTTTCAGTGCCGGGTTGACGGGAGGAATCAGTACTTCCATAGCTGTCTTCTGTCATGAACTGCCACATGAATTAGGTAATAGAACCTCTAAAATTTTACCACATTTCATAAAATTTAACACTCTTTTGATTATAAATACATCAGTGTTTTAGAGGTGTTAAAATGTAAGAAGTGGCCAATGGCGAGTATAGTGTCATTATTCTCTTATTGTATAATTTTTGTGATATGCTCCTAAAACTGTGTATTGTTTTATATTACATATTCTTAATTTATGTAAACAATATTGTTATATCCCATTCTTTTTCTTTCCTTATGTCACTAATCATTGTTTTTAAACTACATAAACTGTAGCTTCTGCCCAGTATTCAGAGGTGTTCTATCTGCCACATTTTCCACATTTAGCACCTAGTATTAGACACACAGCATGACCTTTAATTTCCTGCTACCACGGATAATGGCATGTTGAGCATCCGTAGACTTGCTGCTCATAGATCCTTGTAAGAACATCTTTTGGGTACATACCCAGGAGGAGAATCGATGGGCCCCGCACATGCGTGCCTGAGTGGTCCCACATCACTGACCAAATGGCCACACGACTGTGATGTCTAACCAGCAGCACCTGGCCATTTCTGTATCCCTGTCAACACTTGATGTTAACTTTTTAGTTTTTGCCAATTGAATACGTGTAAAATATTTCTTTGTTGTTTTAGTTGCTGTTTATTGATCTACCAATGATTTTTTTACTTTTTCTTGAAATGTTTTGGTTTCTTCTATAAATTGAAAAACAAATAAAAGATGTGGACATGGCATCCATATTGAAAATGTCTGAGATATGGAGATGATGTTATTTTGAAAGGAAATAACTGACTTCATCTTTTGAGTATCCAAGGAATTTTTTTGCTTTGCTTATTCCAGTGTCGCATTTTTTTAAAGTTGATCTGGCTATAAAACACCATTTGGTTGTGTTTATGCCAGGAAACCTCCAACTGCCCTTCCTACCCACCCACTGCCCCCAGTGGAGGGTGTCAGGCTGCTCCATGAGTCCCTGGTGTATTGAATTGCCCTGTCCCCAAGGATCCACGCGGGCACAGAACTTTCTGTAGTTTCTCGTTTTAGGAGTGACACAGGAGGAATGACAGCCACATGTAAAACTAATGCAGTGCACATCTAAATAGCTAGGTAAGCTCCAGAGAGTGCAGAGCTCCAGCAAAAGCTGGACTACAGAGCTCTGCTTTGGCCAGGACCTCCGAATGAGCCATTCAGACTGAAATCTCGACCTTTCTGTGCCCTGCACACCAGAGGTCGAGCTGTTACTATTGCTGTAAGAGGGAACATCAGAGCTAAATTGGCACAAACTGCCCCATATTCTAGCCACCTAGGCTCCTAGGAAAGAAAGAGTGTAAAGAAACTACCCACCTCCCTTCTTCCGAGGTAGCAGAAAGGCTTTGGCCCTTGTATCCATCAATCAGAAAGGTAGGAAGTGGTCCGGTGGTCCTAACTAAAGGAAGTGTAAACAAACAAATGGGGCGGAGCCTAAATTTTGCCTTCCAGACCCAGTAATGGGCACTTTTTTTTAACATAGGGCCAGATGAGTATCTCTACTCTGATTCAATTGTTTATTCTTAACTTGGAGAGGAACAGAATACAGAGAGAGGCATAGAAGCTTCTTCCTCAGAACTTAAAGCAAAGGGAAAGTCAGTCCCTTAAAGCTGAGATAGAGGCATGGCAGGTAGATGGGAGAAGTCCTTTCCTTACTTGATAGGTTAAGATGTTGGCAATACAGTGTAATACATCACATTTTAGGATAATTTATTTGATCTAAAACCTGTTTTGCACTAGATAAATTTCTGATTATGAATTCTCAAAGCTATTCTGAGATTTTTGTACTAAAGTCATATCCTAAGAGAAAAACAGGTAGTTAATACATTGCAGTCCATTGGAGACCGACCCTTAGTAATTTCAAGTTTGAGTCTTCCTCTTCTCAGCAGATTTCTGTTTTTCTAATGATGTGCCAGGTAGGAGTTTGTTTTGTATTTAGGGCTGTGATATGAAAAACGTGTGCTTTTAAAACTTAGAATAATATACAGTATATTGTATATACAGAAGTGTATATAATATACTTCTTAGAGAATCGCTCTGAGTGTGCAGAAATTGAAATTATTTGATGAAATAGAAAATGTATATACTTCATTTCAGGTTTGCTCTGGGATGTGGTAATGAACACTGTATACATTCACTGTATAGATTTATACTGATGTTATATATATACATTATTTAAGGAAAAAATAAAGGACTTTAAAATAGATACTTGTTCTAAAAAACCTCAATATTTGTTGTTAGCAGGTGTTAGTTATGTTAAGGCACAAGTCACTTTTTATAATGTTATTTTTGTCAACAGAAAGGAAAGAATAGTTATTTATCAAAAGATGGATAGACTTACTTATTCACTGTAAGTCTCAACTGTGGTATTCCTTTTTGATTTATTTTTCAAATGTTTTTACAGGTTCTTATTTAGAAAGTGGAGGTGGAGAAAAAGGGAGAAAACTATGCAGATATCTTTAAGAATAAAGATAAAACAGTCATCTTGATATCATTATATAAAATATTTATTCTGCTCTATACTTGAAATGAACAATTGGAAATTGAAAATTTTTTAAAGTACTATTTATAGTTAAATGAAAAAACATGAACTACTTTGGTTAAACTTAACAAAATATACATAGAATCTATATACTGTAAACTATAAATCACCAATAAAAGAAATTAAAAGGGACTTAAATTAAGAGATAAGCTAGGTTTATGGACCAGAAGCCTCAATATTATTTTTTAAAGATTTTTAGTTACTTTTAGAGAGAGGGAGAGAAACATCAGTGTGTGGTTGCCTCTCACACACTCCCAATTGGGGACTTGGCCCGCAACCCAGGCGTGTGCCCTGACTGGGAATTGAACTGGTGAACTCTTGGTTTTCAGACTGGTACTCAGTTCACTGAGCCACACCAGCCAGGGCAAAGGCAGTATTTTTAAGATGCCAATTCTTTCTACAGATACAATGCATTCCCATTCAAAATCCCAGCAGGCTTTTTGGAGATAAGTGATCTTTTTCAAAATTTTACATGGAAAGACCAAGGAACTCGAATAACCAGAAGGATTTTGAAAAAGGACAGCAAAGCTAATTTTTAAGGGTTATAAAGCCACAGTAATCAAAACAAGTTATATCAGTGAAATAATAGACACATAAATCAGGGAAACAGAGTATAGAGTCCTCACGTATATGGTAGCTTATTTTCAACAAAAGTGCAAAGGAAATTCCATGTAGAAAGGATAGTTCTTCATCAAATGTTTCTACAATAATTGGATATCTGCTTATAGAAACAGACAAACTTGTACTATACACAAAAATTAATTAAAAATTTATTATTGGTCTAAATACAAAAATTTAAAGTGTTAACACTTTTGTAAGAAAATCTTTGTTCTTGGATTAGGCAAATTGTTAGATAGTACATAAGAAGGATCATTAAGGAAAAAAGTAATAAAATGGACTTAATAAAAATTAAAAATTCTATACAAAAGATGTATAAAATGAGATAAGGCACAGACTAAGAAAAAATATTTGGAAAATATATCTGATAAAAGTTTGGATATTTAAAGACCTCTCAATAATAAGAAAACAACTAAAAAAATGGGGCAAAAGACTTGAATAGGCATCTCACTAAAGAGGTTACGTAGATAACAGATAAACACATGAAATTTCGGGTGCTGCTTATGTCGTGGGCTGGAAGGGATGTGGAGCAACCAGAATGCTGGTGAATTGCTGGTAGGACTGTAGTTTCTTACAAGGTTAGAAATGCATACTTAGTGTATGACCCAGAAATTCTACTCATAGGTATCCACACAAAAGAAACAAAGCTTATGTTGACACAAAAACCTGTTTATGAATGTGTACAGTGACTTATTCATAATTACCAAACGCTTGAAATAACCTAAATGTTCTTCAGCTGATGAATGGGTAAATAAACTCTGGTTCATCATAACAGTAAAAAGCAGTGACTTTCTGATACATTTTTGTAAACTGTAATATGGGTGAATCATAACACACATTGTACGTGAAAAACTCTAGACTCAAAAGACTACATACTGTATGATTTCATTTATACACTGTTCTGGAAAAGGCAAACTACAGGGCCAGAAAGCAGATCACTGTTTGCCTAGGAATGAGTGGCCTGAGTAAATGTTTTGGGAGGTGTGATGAAGTAGTTCTTGAGCTTGATGGTAGCTATAGTTATACAGTATGTACTTTTGTCAAAACTCATAGAACTTGAATTCTGTGTGTGAAATTTATACCTCAATTTAAAAAAGTATGAACTATGTTAAGTCATACTCCGTGATTAAGTGGGATCTATTCCTTGGATGCAAGGTTGATCAATATTCATGAATCAATGAACATGATACACCACATAAACAAAGTAAAGGATAAAAATCCTGTGATCAGATTAATAGATGCAGAAAAGGCATTTGACAAAATCTAGCACCCATTTATGACAAAAACTCTCAGCAAGGCAGGAAATACCCCAACATAACAAAGGCCATATATATATGTGACCCACAGCCAGCATTATGCTCTACTGGGAATAATTAAAAGCATTTCTTTTAAGATCAGGAACAAATCAGGGATGTCCATTTTCATCACTCTTATTCAACAGACTACTGGAAGTCCTAACCACAGCAAGTCAGACAGGAAGACACAAAAGGAATTCAAAGTGGAAAGGAAGAAACAAAACTCTTTATTTGCAAATGACATAGAACCGTATATAGAGAACCCTAAAGGTTCCTCTAAATAGTATCAACTAAAAATAATTCATCTTGATAAGTTAATTACGCTGTTTGATTCTCACTCAGGGATGAAATAAATCATCTCGATATCCAGTAATACAGAGGAAGGCATCCAGTTTGAATAGTTTATACCTGTGATACTTTTTTCATTGAGCATTAAATAATGCCCCCTTTAAAACCCTGTTTTGAAATTATAAAAGGAAACACTGTATTTTATAACCAAAAAGACACTTTTGTAGTCTCATTTTGTATTACATAATCCCCTGCTAAGTGAAATTGCCTTTTTAGCAAAGTTGGTAGGTGAATTATTGAAAACATGGCCCAGAAATTTGTAGAGGAAGAAGTTAGCCATGTTTAAAGGAAGCTGAGAAAGGCTGAAGGAACTTAAAACTCTAAGGGAGAGAAGAGATAAAAGCTGGTATTGAATCCAGGTCTCACTGAAGAGAATTAAGTATTTAGGACCAAAGTAGAAAAGATGTAAGGAGATAATATTAGATGGAAACCAGAGAAGAGCAATTTTGAAGCCATTGGAAGATAATTCCATGCAATGCTGCAGTATGTAGTTTGTACCGGTTTCTTGGAACATGGAAAAATAATGCCTTGCACTGATTTACTTAAAACTTCATTAACAGGTCACATGTTTTTAGTTATATAAGATCCTTTCTTAAGAGAAAGAAACGAGCCACAGAATTTTACATGGTACCTTGCATCTATACTAAGTGTTCAGTAATTCAATGAAGGTCTGTATATTTATTAATAAGAAAAGTAGTTTGGGTCCTGACCAGTGTGGCTCAGTTGAACAATGTTCCACAAAGCAGAAAGTCACTGCTGGTTCAATTCCTGGTCAGGGCACAAGCCTGGGTTGTAGGCTCCGTCCTGGTTTGGGCACTTAACCGATCAATATTTGTTTCTCACGTTGATGTTTCTGTCTCACATCACTGTTTCTCCCCCCTTCTTTCTCCTTCCCTTCCCCTCTAAATAAGTAAAATCTTTTTAAGTTTCTTACAATTAGTAAAACTATTAGCTTTGACCCTTTAGCTCCAAGACTTTCTTGCAACATTTTGCTCTTCTAGTAACATCTCTCTAAGCCAGCAATTTTCAGGTTTTTTCATCTCATGGCACACATAAATTAACTAAAGTTCTGTGACACACCAAGAAAATATAATTTTTGCCAGTCTGACAAAAAATAGGTACAATTTTAATTCATTCACACCAATGGCTGTTGTTGATTTGGCTGCTCTGATTTTTGAATTTGACAGTCTAATGGGAAAGAGGTCAGTGCCCCTGACTAATAGTCAGGTGTTGCATGTTTTAAAGATACTTGCACACACTGTTTGAAAGTTGCTGTTTTAAGCAACATGGAATCCTTTTTTTGAGTGTTCCAACTTTAGACAAATGAGTTAGAAAAGTATTGTTTTCACATGTTAAGCATTGTCAGCTATAAGATTCAATGTTTTTCTGGAAGAAAAAACATAACCATAAATAACATATGATATAATATACTCAAAAGAGTGTTACCTCTCCTTAGGCCATTTCCCTTTGAGAAAAGCAGAAATTAGAGCACAGAGCTTTGATTTTTGCTCATTTAAAAAAAAAAACAAAACTGTGTTATTGTTTTCTTGGGTTTTTTCCCATTTATAAAAATGTTACATTTCATGTTACACAGTAAAATTGACCTTGCTTTTCAATGACAGTTTTTTTAATGTGAAGATGCACAGAGATTTGTGTAACCCCAGCACCGTCAGGATACATAACTCTACCATCCTAACAAACTGCTTCATGCTCCTCCTTTACAAGTCGTACCCCTCTCTTACCCCTGCTCCCTGGGGACCACTGAATGTTCTCCATCACTGTGGTTTTATCTTTTTTAGACTATCATATAAATGAAATCATGCCAGCATCACACCTTTGAGATTCACCCAAATTTTAACATGTGTAAAGGTTTAATTTCATAAGTAAAAAATAAATTTTCACAAGGTTCCAGTTATTAAAGGTTATCTTACATCATTCTTAATTTGTTTTCTATTGCTTTCCTAATTTGGTTTGTAAAATTGTATGGTTTTAAAACTCTCACCTTATGTCTTAACTGCAGGTGACTTTGCAGTTCTTCTGAAAGCAGGCATGACCGTAAAGCAAGCGATCGTGTACAACCTCCTGTCCGCCATGATGGCGTACGTGGGCATGCTCATCGGCACAGCGGTGGGCCAGTACGCCAACAACATCACCCTCTGGATCTTCGCCGTCACTGCTGGCATGTTCCTCTACGTGGCCCTGGTGGATATGGTGAGATAGCTTATGTGTTATGCTCAATCTTTTTATTTTTTTCATTTTTTTATTTTTAATTTTTTGTAATTTTATTGATTATGCCATTACAGTTGTTCTATTCACCCCTTCATTCCCCTCCACCCTGCACCCCCCACCCCCACAATTCCCCCCCTTTAGTTTATGACCATGTGTCTCAAGTTCTTTAGATTCTATATTTCCCATACTATTCTTGCCCTCCCTATTTTCTACCTACCATCTATGCTACTTATTTTCTGTACCTTGTCCCCCCTTCTCCTTCTCTCACTCCCCTGTTGCTAACCCTCCATGTGATCCTCATTTCTATGTTTCCGTTCCTGATCTAGCTGTCCTTTTAGTTTGCTTTTGTTTTAGGTGTGGTTGTTAATAACTGTGAGTTTGGTGTCCTTTCACTGTTCATCTTTTTTATCTTCTTTTCCTTAGATAAGTCCCTTTAGCATTTCATATAATAATGGCTTGGTAATGATGAACTCCTTGATCTTATCTGAGAAGCACTTTATCTGGAATTTCCATTCTAAATGAAAGCTTTGCTGGATAGAGCAATCTTGGATGTAGGTCCTTGCTTTTCATGACTTGGAATACTTCTTTCCAGCCCCTTCTTGCCTACAAGGTCTCTTTTGAGAAATCCACTGACAGTCTGATGGGAGCTCCTTTGCAGGTGACTGTCCCCTTATCTCTTGCTGCTTCTAGGATTCTCTCCTTCATTGTAATCTTGGCTAATGTAATTATGATGTGCCTTGGTGTGTTCCTTCTTGGGTCCAACTTCTTTGGGACTCTCTGAGCTTCCTGGATTTCCTGGAATTCTATTTCCTTTGCCAGATTGGGGAAGTTCTCCTTTATTATTTGTTCAAACAAGTTTTCCACTGGTGGCTGTTTCTTTCCCCCTTCTGGTACCCCTATAATTCGGATGTTGGAGCGTTTAAAGATGTCCTGGAGGTTCCTAAGTCTCTTCTCATTTTTTTGAATTCTTGTTTCTTCATCCTTTTCTGTTTGGCCATTTTTTCCTTCCTTCTGGTTCACTCCCTTGATTTGAGTCCCAGTTTGCTCTTCATCACTATTGGTTTCCTGTGCAGTTCCCTTCATTTCAATTAGTTTAGCCTTCATATGTTCCTTTAATTTGTGACTAATATCAACCAGTTCTGTGAGCATCCTGATCACCAGTGTTTTGAACTGTGCATCTGAAAGTTTTGCTATTTCTTCATCGCTTAGATTTATGAGCTCTGGGGTTTTGAGATCTTCTTGAGCCATTTTTGGTCTGTTTGTGCCCATTAATTATGAGGAGCGGAGCCTTAAGTGTTTACCAGGGCGGGGCTGCCCAGGTCGCTGGGTTGTGAAGCTGTATGTGGGGGCGGGGTCAGAGCAGGGAAATGGTGGCCCCCTTTGCTGCTTCTGGCCGCTGGGGCCTGCTCAGTCCCCTCTCACCGCCCATTCTCTCACTGGTCTATCTGTGCACGAATGGAGGACCACAGTCAACCCACTGCCCTGCACCCTCGCTGGGTACGCTGGTCGCTCACTGGGTCGGCCCTTTGCAACCCCACGCCCGGGATCCGCGCGCCTGAGTCTGTCTGACCGAGTTTTCCTGTGCAACCCCGCTCCGCCAGCTGCTGGCTTCGCCCCTCTTACTGGTCAGGCTGAAGAATTTGTTCTTATCAGACTTCTGAAAAGTTCAATTTTCTGTGTTCTGGTTGTGTTTTCTGTTGCTAATATTCTGTTGTTTCTAAACTTGGTTGTGGGAGAAAGCACTGTGTCTCCACCTATGCCTCCATCTTGGCGGAAGTCCCTGTGCTCAATCTTTAAATAGACTACAACTTCCAGAAGTGGAAGGAGTCTTTGGTTGTGGTTTGAAAGACTAAGAAAATAAGTAGCATAGACAGTAGATAGAAAATAGATGGGGGGGCAAGAATAGTATGGGGAATATAGAATCTAAAGAACGTGAGACACATGGTCATAAACTAAAGGGTGGGTAATGGTGGGGATGGGGGGTAGGGTGGAGGGGAATGAAGGGGGGAATAGAACAACTGTACTGGCATAATCAATAAAAAAATAAATTAAAAATAAAGAAAAAGAAAAAATATATATATGTATCCCATTTTGAAGACACATAATATCCTAAATAATCTGTTAGGGAAAGATATTTAAGTAGAAAGATTCCTTTGAAAACCAGTTGAGATCCTGAAGATTTTTGACTAAATGATGTTAGTATTCAAAGTAATCATCAGTGGTATTTAGAGATATAATTACAGGATTATTAATACTACTTTGAAGACTTTGTAATTAGATTATGGAAATGTTTTGTTATTTAAAAAAATGAATCATTTGAGCTTGCCTTATGGCAAACAAGAAAGAAATACTATACTTCTTAGGTAAGTCAGTCTTCTGCAGAAGATTATATTCCAAGGAATATTAAATTTTTTCTAAAAATTTAGGAAAATTTATCCTAAATATATCCTAAATTTTATAAATAAAATTTTAAAGGATTTTATTTATTTATCTTTTAGAGAGAGGGGAAGGGAGGGAGAAAGAGAGGAAGAGAAACATCAGTTGGTTGCCTCTCACATGCACCCAACCAGCACCAAATCCACAACCTAGGCCAGTGCCCTGATGGGGAATCAAACTGGTGACTTTTCACTTTGTGGAATGACACCCAGCCAACTGAGCCATGCCACACCACTTAGTGCTATATCCTGAATTTTTAATTACAGAATTAATGCCTGTTTGTTACAGAAACTTTAGAAAATAGGAACAAAAGTAAAAATTACTTATATTCTGTATCTGGAAGTAGCCATCCCCCCTTTTTATTGCCATATATTTTATTTTTTGTTTTCCAATGTCAGTTCACTGGCAGTATTATTTTGTGTCGGCTTAGGTTACGGCATCGTGGGTAGACAGTCATGTTTCACCTACTGTCCCTCTCTCTTTGTAGACCTTACACCTCACTTCCTAACCCCATGCTCAGCCTATAGCTTTGCTTCCTGCCCCACGGAGAAAACCGAAGCCTTCAAGACGACCTCCCCCGAGATCCCGTCCCCATTTCTACTTCATCTCCCTGCTCCTTCAGACACACCCTCCCCCAGAACTTACCCCTCGTGCTAACTCCCTAAATTGCCCCCTCTCCTTCCTGCGTCATTCGTTTTTCCTCGTCTGTAGGATCGTTCCTATCACCACATAAACCTTTAAAAAGCGGGGGAGATAGACCTTTCTTAACTCCAGTTTCCGTTTTAGCTGTCATCCTGTTCTCTTCCCCCCCCCCCCCCCAGAGCAAATCACTCTTTCTTGTTTTTAACTCTCTCTCTCTCTGTCTGGCTCATCAGGTTTTCCCCCTGACTGCCTTGCCAGATGGCATTTGTCAGGTTGACCCACAGCCCCTACATCCCCCGCTGGGTTCGTTTTCCTGCTCCGACCGCAGCATCTCTTCTCTTTGAAATGCTGTGTCAGGCGGTTTCTGTGCTGCCACCGGCTCCTGCCCTTCTGGCCTTTCTTTCTCGGTTGTTTTTCCTGCATCCTCTTTCTCCCCCTGACCTCTAAATGGTGGTGAAAACCCTGTAAATAATCTCATCTCGGGGTATATTTATTAGCTGATAATTCCTGTTAATTTTTTTACAAGTGTCTTTTTAAAAAAGATTTTGTTTATTTTTAGACAAAGGAGAGAAACATTAATGTGTGAGAGAAACATGGGTCGGTTGCCTCTCATATGCCACCTACCAGGGACCTGGCCCGCAACCTAGGCATGTGCCCTGACTGGGAACCGACCCTGTGACCTTCTGGTTCGCAGGCCTGTCCTCAATCCAGTGAGCCACACCAGTCAGGGCGATAATTCCTCTTTCCGTTTTTAGCCCAGGCCTTCTCTTCAACTGCAGATTAGTCCAGCCACCTGCTTACCTGAGCATCCCAGAGGCATCACAAATTCTGTTCGTTCAGAACCCACCTCTTGTTATTTGCCAGCCCTACTCCTTGTGCCAGCTCCTCTTACAGAATTCTCCATCTCATAAGAACTCCGTTCTTCTGGTTGCTTAGATGAAACCCCAGGCCTCTTTCTTTGACTCCACTCTCTGTTCTCTCCACGTCTGGTTTGTCACCGAGGCCTGAGGCCTCCATCCCCTAACCACCTCTGCTCCCCTCTCATCTCCCTTGTTCAGCCCACCACCATCTTCCTCTTTTTAGCTCTTTCCCCTGCTTTTGCCCTTGCCCGCCTACCACATTCCAGATCAACACACCAGCCAGAGCGATCATTTTTAGTGATCCTTTAGACCATGTCACTTGTGTGCTTCAACCCCCGTAAGTGGTTTTCCATCTTACTCAGAAAAAAGCCCCAAAGCCCTTGCTTTCCATCCTCCGTCCCCTCCCGCTGCCCCACCTCCAGTTTTCCCAACTGCACCTCATCTCCTGCCCCTCGCCCCGGAAGCACCCTCTGCCTCTTGCCCGCACTCTGTGGGGGACAGGTGGCCGGCAGACACTCTCCTGGCCAGCTCTTCACATCTCGTGAAGCGTCCTAACTCACAGTTCAGTCTCTACCACCACATGTCACATCCTTTCCCTACTCAACTGTTTTCTCCACAGTTCAGTGGAGAAATGTTTATAGCATTAAACATTTTGCTTATTTACTGAGTTAATTTTGTGCCCCCTAGGATGTCAGTTCTGGAAGCGCAGGCATGTTTGTCATATTTCACTTACTGTTGAATAAAGAATGAATGAGCTAATTCTCATACTAGGAAACTAAAGTTGTAAAAAGAATGAGAGAGTTGTTACAGACAGGATTTATAGTCTAATGAGGAAGAAAGTAGCCACTAATTACAATTTTTTGATACATGTTACAATAGAGTTGATACACGATGCTTGTAGAACTACAAAGAAAGGTCGGTTTAAAAACTTGGGAAATAAAATTAGGGAAGTTCTTCTGGAATAGCAAGTCTGAGCTAAGTCTTAAAGAATGTAGAAGAGTATATGAGAAAAAAGGGAAAAAAGCATATGAAAAAAATTATGAATATCATCATTCTTTGACTAGTGAGTTTACTCTTGGGACTGTATTCTGAGGGAACAGCCTAAAATTACTATTGCAAATAAAGTAAGCAAGCAAAGAAGCCAAAAATAAAACCATATTAAAGTGTTCTTTGCAGTACTATTTATAATGTCACAGTTTTATTGAAAATAACCTAAATGTCCATGAAAAGGGGGATAAATTATTCACATATATTGTAGGATTTTAATGACACTGAGATTACGTATTTTCTAATGTTAAGTAGAAAAAATGGTTTAAAAGGTTATTTCCATGTGGTCATCAGGTAGATGTTGGCCAGACCGTGACGTCACCCAACATGCCATGCTAAAAAGATCAGAGTTTATCCTATAAATTTTGGAGAGCCAGTAGAAGGTTTAAGCAGCAATGCCATGCTCACATTTTTGTTTTCGGAAGACCACCTTGGGTGTAGAGAGGAAGTTTTTACTGATTTGTAGTCATTTAATAAGAAAGCGATAGTAGGAGCAGTTTCAGTTTGAGGTGCCTTCAGGATATCCAGAGGGAGGCATCTGGTTTCAGGTGGCCTTGGATAACAGCTACTCACTAACCCGTGAGCAGCACAGGTGCGTCTGAACAAGTGCGGCCCACACACTGGCTGGTCCCTGGCTGTGGCCGTGACAAACAACATGGGCGTCGGCATTCGGGGTCCAGTCGGGGTAGGGAAGGCACAGTCCCTGTCCTGCCTGCCGTGTACACGTGTCAGAGGAGATACTTCTGTCAAATGTCCTGTTAAGGAATGTCAGGGTTAAAGGTTCTTCTAGCAATAAAAACCTGGGGGAGATAGGGAGGAAAGATATAATAAAATAGTCTTCTTACTAGAATCATATAGAGGAAATTACCAGTTTGTCTTAATCTAGGGGTTGGCAAACTTTTTGTAAAGGGTTAGAAAGTGAAGATTTAGGTGCTGTGGAGAATCTAGTCTCCGTCACAAGTATTCGGCTGTACCACTTGCAGTGCTTTCTGCCACAACTGCTTACACTGTTGGACAAGAACAAGAGCCTCCAAGAGCTGATCACACGCTTCTGCCATAGACCTGTGAGCAGAACAGGAGGCCCGCATGGAGTAATCGGACCCTCGGGAGGCTGTTTAAATAGCACTGTCAGCATGGAAGCTGGGTTAATTGTACTCATTATTTAATAAATAATTGTGTTTCTTCTTAGGCAGGTGTTACGTACTTAACACTACATTTCTGCGCCCTAAACCTCAAAACACCAAGATACTGTATGGAGTAAAGCTTGGCAATTAAAAGAGTAGCGTAACTGCCATCTTTTGTAGATAATCATTGTGAAAACAATAGACAGAAAAGTGAAAGTGAAAATTGGAAGCAGCAGTTCTTTCACAGTTTTGATTAGGTTTGGGTAGAAAGAATAATAGGCTTTATTAATGCATAAGTATTTCTGCTTCAACAAATCTAGTTGACTTAGATAAAGATTCACATTTTATAGTTTGACCCATGAATTATTATTCTTAACTGTAATAGCATATGCTTATACTGTAGAAGTTGAAGTATAAGCTTTTCAATGTACTGCTACTTTAAAGATATTGGAGACTTTTGAATATTTAAAGTTGTATCACTATTAAGAGAATAGAGTGGGCTGTGTGTAACTTGCTAGCAGTTACGCTGGCTGGCACTGATACACTATTTTCTGTGTCTGTTGTTGGAAGGAGAACAATGCTACTTAAGGGCATAGTAATGCCAGTTTTGAATTGTCTGTAAATGTCTATTCTTGCAGTCACGTGCAGGTGGAAATGAGAATTTTAAATGGAAAAGGGTAAAGAAATGATACAGTTTTAAATTAGATATCCCCAAAGGGAATCTTACTTTCTAACTGAGCTTAAGTTAGATGGTAACTTTGTGATTTGTGGTATTCTTTTCTAACAGTTGTACTGGCAGTAATTAGTTGTCTTATACTTTAGTATAAGTGTCAGAATTGATAAGGTCGGTGGAGAGTAAGTAACTTTGAAAAATGACTAACATATATTATGTGCATTTGTTGGAGAATGAAGAGAGAACAGAGTTCATTTTACTTAGTACATAGCCAGAGCACACAATTTCTTACTCAGTGCTCAACTAAAATATGTTATGATTAGCACTGTGTTCAATAACTAATTATTTTATTTGTAGCTTTGCTTTCGTCATTATTGTTCTTAAGTAGGAAAACGTGTAAAAAAAAACCCATTTGAGCAGAATATTATACAAAATTGCTTGTAAATACCTATGTGGCTTTCCCCCCAGCTTCCAGAGATGTTGCATGGTGACGGTGACAATGAAGAACATGGCTTTTGGCCAGTGGGGCAGTTCATTCTGCAGAATTTAGGATTGCTGTTTGGATTTGCCATCATGCTGGTGATTGCCCTCTTTGAAGACAAAATTGTGTTTGACTTCCAGTTCTGACCATTCCCAGTGATCACTGTTGATTACAAGAGTGTTACTGTGCAGCTTTGCATCTGTTCCTCGTACTGTACGCGCATCGCTCAAAGAAAAGTCAGTGGCTTGCACTACTTACCAATTCCATACATTTGAGCCCGCCCCCAAGACTGGTGCTCAGTACTGCTTTCCCTGTGTGAAGGGGGCTTTTTAAAAAAATGTAAAGCTTGTGATATAGAAGGGAGAAAATGGGATTCCACGAGACAATGTGGGTATAGGTTTAAGACTTTGGAAAAAAAGAATCATATAAAACACTAACGTAATCTCTTTATTAGTAGAAACTTCTGTGGCTATGCAGAAATAGGAATTGAACCAAAAAAAATCACTTAAACTTTAAAAATATTTTAAATGGACTTTGGCAGACTTTTCTTTGTGCTAAACATGACTTGTAGTGTCCTTTAATTCAGCTACATATATACATATGGTAATAGGGATCAACTTGATGACTTTGAAATTGAATAAAGTAGACTGTAGGACCTAGAGGGAAAGCTCAGGCTGCATTAGAGTATGAATTTAGCATTGGGGAAAGCCCTTATTCTTGAATCTAGAGTTACTATTTTTGTATATATTTGCATAGTGTTTAAACTTGCAGCCTAAACTACTGAAATTTGTGATTGTATGTTTGTGCGAGCTTCAGTTTAATGAAAGATTCATAATGGTTCTTTTTATAATATTATACTTGGTGTTTGGGTTTTGTTTTTGTTTTGTTTTTTTAGCTTTGTTTTGTTTGGGGTTTTTTGGTGGGGATAGGAGGTTGGAGCATGTGGTAAAATGGTTCTTTTGTTACTAAAATGTAGGTCTAGAAGATTTCAGAGAAGTGAAGAACCCAAACATGGTCTAAATATTCAATTTTCCTACTCTAACAGTACTAACTAGTTACTTGGGAAATTTAGGTTCTGAATGTGCTTATCGCTTTACCAAGCTGGCCCTGGGACCATGCAGTGGCTGGCAGTGACCCACGTGGGCCGTGTCCGTGATCTGTGCATGGAGCGTGCAAACAGTCCTGCGGTGATCTTCACTGACACTGGCTGTCATAGCACTAAGTGACTTGGAAGATATATTTAACTAACTCAGCTGAAATCACTTGATCATTTTGTGCCAAGATATGCTGTTAGTGCCTAACAGGGATTAGTGTCTTTTTTAGGTGCCCTGTTCTCCTACCGTAATTGTGATTGATTTGTGAGAAGTGCAAGCCATGTTTATTCTGAATTTTGACCTAATAATTTGTAGCCCAGTGGACGCATGTAGCCTTCTGTTTACACATTGTGCCACATGGTCTTCATTTATGCAGGTAAACTGTGTTTCAACTGTGCGGGCAGCTTTCTTTTCATCTGCTTGGCTACCAGTGTAGCTGCTTTAAAAATCTTACTGTTCAAATATTGAAGAGCCAAACTCTTTCCATTCCATTGTAATGTTTTCATTTAGTTCTCTTCCTTTCCCATGATTCTTTCATCTTACTCCGTAACTCTGAAACAAAACTGAAGCTTTGAGAGCAGCGCATGTATCCAGGTGTTAATGGAGTACTGCCAGGGTTTCTTCTGTACCCTGTAAGCAAGGGAGTTCAGGTCTTCTTCTATTAATTTATGCCTGAACTTGGAAAATTATTTCTGGCTTTCTCCATGGTCTCCTGTAACAAGTAGGAGTTTTAAACGGAGAGTATTTTCAGCGTTGGGCACTGAATTAGGACAGTCCTCATCTCATTGCTTGGCCTTCAAGCAACTGAGCTAAACGGTGCTGGTATTTTGTTTAGTATTGCCAAATTCAAGTGATTCAAGGGTCTTGCTTTCTGAACCCAGATATATTTATAGTTCTTTTGGGGGTTTTGTATCCAAAGCGGATTCTGCATTCCACCATTATTAAATCTGCTTAATTTAAAAACTTTTATGAAAAGCAACAGCTGGAATATACTCCCATTCTTAAATTCCTAATTTAAAGTGAATAGGTTATGCTGAAGTATATATAGTTTTAGATTTTCTCAAAAATGGTATTATCTTTATTTGCTGGATCTTTTTAACTTTTTAAGAAGGCTGTACCAGTTGCTGCTAGTATTTTGTTAGGGTTCCACCAGTATTTAGTTTTCACATCATTCTAGTGTATGATTTCAAGTCTTACTAGACAATCTCAATTCCACTACATTTCTGTTTGGCTCCAACATTCCATTTAGCGTGACCACTCTACGTTAACATGTGTTTGTCGGAGTTCATTGCTGTTACTTGTACAATGCTGTCACTGTGTGACGTCCATATGAAATTTGGTGTATATCACATTGCATTCAATCAGCTGTGATTATGCTTAGAAATACTATAGTAACTAGATGCAGTGTGAATTTTTTCCATTAACAATAAGTCAGTGGCTTAAATGTGATTATGGTCCTGCAAGGTGATACTTGCTAAAATAGCTAAACTTTTTTTGTTGTTGTTGTTATAACTGAATCATTTTTAAAAAAATTTTTAAAGCTGGAAATGATCAAATGCTGTTTTTTTCATTGTCAACAGTGGTGTGTCATTTTATGTATGTTCCTAATGCTTATGGAACTCTCCCAAAATAAAGTTATTAAAGAAGAACAAATATACCAGTGTGTTTCCTTTAGACTAGCCTTTATTTCAGGACATTTCCTTATGCTGAAGTATGAATCCTTTTCAACACAGGCTGCGTCTGCACATTAATAGATTTATGAGTAAGTATAACTTTAGTCAAATTCATTGAAACTAAATAAACTTAAAAACATTAAACATATGTTCTACTTAATCATGTAACCAGAAGTAGGAGCAGGGAAGTGGTGCCCTCCAGTCATGAGTTAAGCTGACATAGCAGTGCCACGCCCCGGCCGATCCAGTGCTCCTTGGGCTGGTCAGAGGGCAGGGTCATGGCGATCACAAAGTTCGTGGAATGGCCCGTGGTGGACAGTGTTCCCCTCCGCTCGCTTGTCTTGTACAATGGAGCGACATAACTTGGTCGTTCTGGTATGTCTAGCCTCTTACAGGGCTTTAGCCACATCTGGAAGAAAGAGCGTAAAACTTCTCTAAGTCAAAGCTGTTGTATTTGAACATTCAGGCAGTATTGTTAAAGTTGGTTATAGCTGCAAATTTCTGTAGCCCAAACAGTTTTTATTTTTGTCAGCAGTACTGCCATCAGAACATTTTTTAGAGCTCTCCAACTATCTTCAGAACAAGTTTAGAAACTAAATGACTTTAAAAAAAGTTATTTTCACCCATTCTGTCAAAAAGCATATTAACTGTCCATCACCTCTCCACTAGACCTACACCTGCCTGCGGATGACTTCCAGCGCCTACAGACAAGCCGGGTACACTGTGAAAGGAGAAAACTGCCCCCACTGACACTCAAAACCAGGTTGCCTAATTAGTTAAAGGCCAACCCCAAAATATTCGGAAAGACTTTTTATCGATGAGAGAATTAGATCGCCTCATTTTAAGTGCATATCTTAGAGTTGCTGTTAGAGATATCACATATCCAACACAGCCACATTGTTTGTATACAGTCAGCCAAGTTCCTGGAATGGTAAGCATTATTGAACCTCACCAATCTCAAAAATCAGATTTAGGGGCAAGCTGAACTCTGAATATGAGCAAAGGACAAACTATCATCATAAAGATGAAATAATGTTTTTAGAAGTTGGTTGAATTCATTTTTCTGTCATCGTAATAGTTGCAACCCTCCGAGGTGGCAAGACTTGGCAGACCCACTCATTAGAGTTCTAGGTTTCATGGGTCGAAATACAAATTACATGAAGGAGCTAATAAGGGCACCAGTCTCACCTATGTAATTGTGGAATCCAGGTTATTACAAGGGGGAGGGGAGGTCATGAAACATTTTCAGCTGTAGCTGAGTATAAGGACTTAGAGCACTGGAGTTGGACATATTTCATTTCCTCCAAGAGTAGATTTTTCTTACTAAGTGACTTCCTTATTCAGGAGAATCATCCACATATAAATTCCTTCTTCTATTCACTGCAACTTCTTAAAAGTTTCCATGTGAAAGGAAAAAAATTCAATACCAATCAGCTCCTGAAATTGCACATTTGTCCTTGTGACTTTCAATTTGGGTCTCATCTCTGAAACTGCCCACAGTATCTTTGCTGATTTCTTGTAATTGGCTGTCAGCAGCAGGTCCCTTTACCTGTTGGCGATGCTCTGAAGGATTTTTGCCTGTCTGAGCAGTTCCCAGTGCCCCACAAACAAGTCAGGTAAATTTACAGCCTCTATCTTACCACCGTCCCAGAGTTCCAGACTGTCCAATTGTGAGGAATTCTATGTGGCCATTTTCTCGTGATACAGTAACAGATGGAAGCTTGATATTCACATAGTTTGGTCTGCCCATGTTGAAGATAGGTGCCTAGAGAGTGTAACTTTATGTGGGTAGTTCTCATATAGTAATCTAACCTGCAAATTTCACATTTTCAGGTCAAATTTAATGTAAGAAAAAAATGCATGATAAAAACGTGTGTGTGTGGTTACATATATACAGCTGATCCTCCTTACTCCTGGGTTCTGTTGTGCAGATCTGCCCAGCATTAGTGTATTTGTGATCCTCTGTCAGTACTCCACACTTTCATGGTCATTTGCAGGCAATTCTCTGAGAGCAAAAGATGAGTCACCAACAAGCACCTTCCCAGCTGAGGTTGAACCTGTGATATGCTGACTTTTTGTTTCATCTCATTACTAAACAAGTATCCTTTTGACAGCTCATTCAATGCCAAGTTTAAAACATTTTGGTGGTTCTTTGTTGGTGGTGACTTCTCTGTTTAAAGCAGCCCCCCACGTACAGTGCTGAGGGGCTACCTAGTGCTCCTAGTGCAAGAAGGCTGCATTGTGCCCGATGGAGAGAACACTGTAAGCTTCATTAAGGCATGAGTTGTAGTGCTTGTGTCCATGAGTTCACTGTTAACGGGTCATAAGTAAGGTGCCTTTAAACAGAAACGCAAATGAAACAAGGTCATGTATTGATCGCTTAACAAAACTGAGCTTGCTTTTTTCTGGGAGCAGTGTTTCAGCGTTCACTAATTCAAAGCTGGCAGCAATTCCATGGAACATAATTACCCTGAATAACAAGATTTGACTGTGTGTGTGTGTATGTGTATGTGTGAAACAACCCCCATCTGTGTATATATCTATATATATCCTTAGAAAATACTAACCACGGGCATTGTATCATAAAGAATTTTGGGATGTGATTCGGCAAGTTTCTTTATCTTTCTATTCCAGGAAGCTCCATCCAGAAATAATCCATGAATGAAAACACCTAAATATAAAAGAAGCAGGTTAATGCAACCCTTTAAATAACCAAATTGACTGAGTTCTGAATCCAACCTTCCTACGGATGAATACTATACAGGTTCTACCAGCTCAGCAGCCTAAGGCTTATTCTAAAAGGAAAAGCAGTGTTCTGAGTGTTTTGTCTTAACACCCGTATTTCAAGAATATCTGTACCTTCCCAGGTCAATTAATTCGATAGTATAATTAAACATGGAAGACACAAGAGGAATTTTAAATTAGCCTGTGGGAAGTTTCCAGTTTGTAGGAACAGGATTAGATTTCTGTTTTTAACTGGACAATGATTATAATGGCAGAGGCCATGAAATCTGCAACAAATTTCCTTGTGCAGTTGTAGGGATCCAGTGACTTCTGGGCAGCAAGTGAGCAAGTGCCCTCTGCAGATCTCTAAGGTTATGTGAGTTAAATTTCTCCTCCCTTTCAGGATTTGCTCTCACTCCAAGGGCAGACACATGGAGGAACTCCCTCTAGAATAGAATGTCACAGGCGAACAGCCGAAGGACACAACTGAGGAAGTCAGTGAAACCCAGTCACTTTCTCTGGCCATCCATGTGTGGAAAGCCTCATGACTTGAACATAGGGGTCTGCACTTAAAAACGTGCACTGTGTATTTGCACAGATGTTACACGAAGCAATGTGGAAGTTAGGCCTTAATTTTACTTTCTTATTTGCTGTGTGACCTTGAGCAATTCATTTAACTTTAGACTTGCTTTGTCATCTGGAGAACAGCTGGGAAACACCCATACACAGTAGTGCCTGCTTTGTCTACCGTGTACAGTTGTGAGATCAAGTCAGCTAATACTGGAGAAAGCACTCGGTGAAGTATCTGGAAATCCACTTGGCAGTGCGGTCCAGCAGGACTTTGGGCGATGATGGTAACGTCCCCCATCTGTGCTCTCCAACCTGGTAACCACTGGCTATCAAACACCTGAAACATGGCTAGTGTGACCAAGGGATTGGACTTCTAGTTAATTTTAATTATACAGTCGAGCACCACTTAAGGACGGGAAAGTGCTGAGGAATGTGTGATTAGGCAATTTTGTCCTTAAGCAAGCTTGTCAGTCTGCAAACATCACAGATGCACCTATAAAAACCCAGATGGTGGAGCCCACCACACACCTAAACTGTATGGTACAGCCTTAGGCTACAAGCCTATCTGTATGAAACCACGCAAGATTAAGTCAAGCACGAGAAACAATGATGAGTCAACAGATGTGGCAAACACGACATGTGTGAGGCTGCTGCCAGCGCAACGCCCCATTTGTTTCACGGCAAACCTTTAAAGTATCAGTAGAAAGAGTACATTTTAAAGTAATGATAAAAAGGATCGTAAACACGTAAGCGAGTAACAGTCGTTTATCACCCAGCGCTACATACTGTAGGTTCTGGGCTGTACTTTTACACAGCTGGTTTGTCCACCCCAGCCTCACCACAAACACATAACACTGCTGAGATGTCAGGACAGGCATGACGTCACTAGGCCATAGGAAATGTTCAGCTTCGTCATAATCTTATGGGACTTCTGGGACCATAGTCCTATGAGCGTTACATCATTGACCTAAACATTGTTATAGGGTGCCTGACTAGTTCATAGTAAAAAACCACAGGCAGATAATTCAAGGATGGGTGGGCTAGGGTGGTGGGAGGGGCACTTACTCTTTCTCTTCTCTAGGGTTTAACTGATGGAAAGAATAGTTGGAATGAAATGTTTTATTAATTAGCAAAGCGCTTGTCCAATAACTTAGCAAACATTACTCTAGTAAAGCTGAATTGCAAAACATGTCTTGAGTCTGGGGCAATGCAGGGAGTGGGCCCACCTGAGGGAGAGCTAGGTCTGCAATCACATCCTAGGAGCTACCTCCCCGGCCTGGCCACCCTAACAGGTGGGAAGAGGGAAAACAGAGGGGCCTCTGCAGATGCATCCAGGAGGGCCGTTCAGTACCCTGACCTGGCTGGCAGGTGTGCACAGCCCAGTAAATCTCTGGCACTAACCAATTAGATGATCTGTCCAGCACATGGTAAAGAAAGCTAATGTCACATGCAGTAACCAGAAGAGTTCATTTCAGCACTGAAGAAAAGTGGCAGTAGGGATACACATTCCCTCCCCACCAGGAAGTTTAATACGAAATGTGATGGGCATCTTCACATACATTTTTATTTCTCATGGTCAGTAAGGGCCTTATGGAAACACAAGCTACAAAGCCCCAGGTGGATGTTAGCTGGCTCCTGGTTCTCAGCCTTTCCCACTCCGAGTCACACCTT